TACTGTATTTTTACCAACTGAGTTTGTCGACGCCATTATAACAACACAGATCACTCTGCCTATTCATGCCAGAGTCCCGCAGAAAAAGTAATTGACAGGTGGTAATTTGTTATATCTTTAATTTTTTACGATTTGGTTATGGGTAAAACAAAGATCATGCTGGTCAGGTAGTTGAAACGGTAGGCTACAAATAATTAATTAGTTGTGAATTAATTAATTATTCATAAATAATTAATTTACGCCGCCTACAACGACGATGCCATCGTTTATCGGGATGCAACACATTAGATATCATACCATGCCAAATTGATCTACATCCCCCAACACTAATTTAATAACCCTGTGTCCTAACCACACACTACGAGACAAGGTTTGGCTGTTTGCACCAGATGCAGCATGACTTTAAACCATGAATTTAAATTCAGCCATTCAGAAGCACAAAATAGTGCACTTACTGCACTCCAATGAAATGGTAAGGTTTATAATCTTATTAATATAAATTAAACCTCTTTAACATTATTAAATGTACATGCTGAATCACTGGTGTCATCAATCTGGCAACCTGCGCTTGCGCGTGTTTTGAACCAGGCGTGCAATACCTAGTTCAACCACTGGTTGTTAAACCTTTAAAGATAATTTATATCAGGGGTGCCCAAACTCAGCCCTGAAGGGCCGGCGCCCTGTATATTTTAGTTCCAACTCCAATTAAACACATCTGAACTAGCTAATCAAGCTCTTTCTAGGTATACTAAAACTTCCAGGCAGGTGTGTTGAAGGAAGTTGGAGCTAAATATGCAGGACATCAGCCCTCCAAGACAGAGTTTGTACAACCCTGAATTATATGGTTGCTGACAAGATTAGTCTTAACAGCTGTACTCTTAAACTTTCACAAAAAAAAAAAAAAAGTGTCTACAGCCAAAACAACATAATATATTTATATTGTTTGCTCAATTGGTAGATTTATACAATTATAAACACAATATTGATAAGGTAGCATGAAACAAAATGTTCCTACTGTTTCATTTACTCTTTTGGTATTTAGATATTATTTACATTGCTGTGACTGAACAGCAAATGTCTGAACCCCAAATGATGTGCTTAAGTTTTGAAAATGCAGAAGTAAAGGAACAAGTTGTTTTCACAGCTTATTTTCTATGAATTATTTAGCTTTAGGAAGTTACAGAACAAGTTCTGAATGGTACAGTATTATTTATATACAGTATATAGCGCATATACAGTAGTATAGTACATTGCAATAGTATATACAGTGTGTATATACTAATATATGTTCTTTGTACAAACATATATACAGTACAATAGCATATACAGTATACAGCGGTTTTTAGAAAACAACATACTCGTTTATTCCTCATTGAAATTACTAGATTCATTTAATGAAGAACAGAATTGCTGAGTAGACATTGAGATTAACAGAGCTTCTAATACTGAAATAACTGTTAATGTGAGCAGCTAATACTGATCACAAGCACTTCGGGTTAAAGTATACAAACTAAATTCTCTTCTTTTCCTGTGAAACGTGGTGACCTTTGTGTGAAATGTCTTGCTGTCTGGGGTGGAGTGCAGTGGAGCTCCGAAACTCCGGCTTGTTTATTTTCAGCTATGAAAGAGGGGAAGTAAAAGTAATACGCACACATTTTGTTTTGATTTCATAGAACAGCAGATGGTTTCCGCACCGTACCAACAATAACACAACAGCTCCAAGCCTCCTTTATGCTCTCTTTTTTCCCCCCCGTTGATGTTGCTCTGGGCGAGAACCGGAGAGATGAAAACAATAACTCCCAAAGCACAAAGCAAATATGAACTCCTGCATGTACGCTGGAACCTAGTGAGTGACTGACAATGAAAACAAATCTAATCGTTACTGTTATGGTTTAGATAGCACTTACTTTCCGTCGAGCAAAGAAGTGGTGCTAAATGTCACTAAATTGGACTGTGCAAACAAAGATTAATGTTGTGTACGTGAGTATTACATGTTCGTTTCACAATCAAGGACAAATACCACAGTGATTGACTACAGGACCAAATGTGTACAGGCGTATAGAGTTTATTTACAAAAAGACATTGCCATCTACTGGTCTGGCATACATAATATGTTTTTAGCAGGTTTTGTGGATCTGTGCAGGCAGATATAATTTTGACAACATTGTCATATAACTGTGTTTAATTAGCAATCTGGGCTTTCATTACCCTCTGTTACCACTGAAACTGCCTGAATTCCACAAGTACACTCATATAAGATGTCATATTATCACGTCATACTTACATTCAAAGTTTCTATTGAGATACTAAATTAAGCTTTGAATGTCTGTCATCATATTTAATTAAGTCATCACCCTAAAATGCATTCTTTTTGGTAATATAGTCTATAAATGTATAGGCTACTAACATTAGCGAATCAACATTAGCAAAACATTAGTGAACCACCCGCAAAAGCAGAGGAGAAGGCTTTTTCACGGCACTGAATATGATATTTTAAAAGACATATCTGAAGTTAAGTTATGTTTTTGCCAGCAGAAAGTTATGTTTTTGTTAGCAGGAAGTTGCTAGGCAACAGAGGAATGTATATTTAAAGTCATGGGGAAAAGTAGCAGACGTTGGTTGCATTCAAAATCACATACTTCCATACTTTATAGTATGCTAAAATCAGTATGCGAGCCAAGTAGTATGTCCAAATTCATAGAATTCAAAAATCAGTATGTGAGAAGTACCTGGATGACCTACTACTTCCGGCTAGATTCTGAAGTGTGCATCATATGGATGCTACGCTTTGCCATGATGCCCCGCAAGAGAATTTATGAATGGGAGTGAACAGACGCAATTCATGCGGGTAGGTCATGTGATCATGACATGATGGATGTACTATGTCCGAGTTCCATTCATACAACAGACATTCATACTGTATAGAACGTACTTTTCTAATGGTCGAGTAGTACGTTTAAATTCAAATGCAGTTCCTACTGGATAATCGGCAGTTTCGGCCACAGCCACTGAAATGCATGCGGTCATTCTGACTGCTATGGTAGTTCTAGGTAGAAATAATCAGAACTCTTTTGTGTTTTAATTGACATAAAATAACAATGTTAGAAAGAAGTACACACATATTTAGTAAAAATCATAGATATGTGTTTTATTTCAACAAAGTTATTAAATAGCAAAAATAGAAAATGGTTAAAATAACCATTCAATTAAAATGTTCTTAATACGCAAATATTTTAATGCTAATTTAAGGTGAATTTGGACTTTTGATAAAAATGGTTAATACAAATTGAAGATTAAAATCCATTTGTCAAATAAACTCTGACTTTATCGGCTAGATCAGATACGGTTGTGACTGGAAGTTAACAAGAATTATTTATATTATTTATTAAATATCTCATTTATTGTATTTTATTAACGTCTACCCCTACTCCAACCCTAAAACCAACCATCACAGTTACGTAAAAACAGTAGTTGTACCGAGTATTATTTAATATTTTTTAAATTACTCAATCAATTTTGTTTTATTAACGCCTACACCCACCTCAACCATCAAAGTACTGTAAAAATAATTATTATTGTTATACAGTGTTACAAAAATTATGCTATATTGATGTGCGTATATGCAGCTGTATCCTAAATAGACTTTACCCATATGCTTGCCTTGTTTACTGTTGGTTGCTAGGTTACCAATACTACAGTCAGCTGCTGTAACAACTTGATGGAAATCCACCCAATTCACATTTGGGATTTTATTATTATTATTATTTTGTGCACAGATTGAAAAGATTAGCTTCAGGCCATTAAGGAAACCTGGCTACAGCATCGAAGATGGATTTGTTTTTGTTTTTTTGGGGGGTAGACATTCAGTCATTTCTCTAAAATAAAAGATAATATCCAATGTGGACCAAATATAAGATGTCTTGTTTGGTTTTCTTGGTAAAGCACTAAAATGTTTGGCAGATTGCTAACTTATTCAGTTTAGTTATCGTAAATGACACACTCTCTTCAGACCCCGCCTTCTGAAGTGACGACAGCCAACCTGATGTCAATTTGACAGATGACTGACAGACGAAAGGGCGTTCCTGATTGGCTTGTCGTCAAAACAGCTGTGGCTTCAGTCAGGTAGTAGTGCAGGCGTTTTTTTTAGGGGAAATAACCATAAATCACCCTTAGTACATTTATGTACAACAAGTGATACAAAATGCCTCACCTGCATCCTCTGCCGACGAAATTTCATTAACGTCTACGCCAACCTTAACCCCAACTGTCACAGTAATGTAAAAACAATAGTTTTACTAAATATTGTTTATGTTATTTATTAAATTACCCAATAAATTGTATTTTATTAACGCCTACATCCACCCCAACCATACTGTAAAAAATATATATTATACAGTGCTACAAAAATTGTGCTTTGTGCATATCTGCAGCTGTATCCTATCTAGACTTTAACATTATGCTTGCCTTGTTTACTGTTGGTTGCTAGGTTACCAATCCTACAGTCAGCTGCTCTAACAACTTGATTTATTAACCTTAATATTATTATTTTGTGCAAAATTTGAAAAGATTAGCTTCGCGTTACAATGGAAACCTGGCTACAGCATCGCAGGTGGATTTTTATTTTATTTTGGTGCACATCCAGTCACTTCCCTGAAATATAAGATGATATCCAATGTGGACCAAATTTAAGATGTCTTGTTTGGTTTTGATGGTAAAGCACTAAAATATTTTACAGTTGTAAAAACTTATTCAGTTTAGTTTACGTAAATGACTCAGACCCCGCCTTCTGAAGTGACGACAGCCAACCTGATGTCAATGTGACAGATGACTGACAGACAAAAGGGCGTTCCTGATTGGCTCTTCGACTAAACAGCTGTGGCTTCTATTTCAGTCAGGTAGTAGTACAGGCGTTTTTAGGCAAATAAGCGAAGTAAATCGTCCGTGGCTGCTTTAATGCGAGCACATTTATGAATATCAAGTGATACAAAACGTCGTCTCACCTGCATCCTCCGCCGGCGAATAATACCGGAGTCATCCATGCTATCGCTCATCGTGTCGGTCTGTCTAAAAAGCCGCTTCACGGCTTACCGAGTGCACGTGGTGACAGACAGGCGCCCTCAGGTGATGCTCAGAAGTTTCCCCTTGTTTGCATTTCCCTCCTCAGGTAAAGACGAGCATGGGCGTTGCAATACGATGCATTCGCGAGACACACCAAAACACCCGCCTTTTAAAATTATTGGGATTAAAATGCTCCGATAAAGGCTAAACGTGACTAGTTTTGTCTGTCAGAAACGAGTAAAATTTTCATCCTGAGTGATCTCGATCGTCACTTTCCGTATCCTCCGCGCGTGCTTTCGGAGAGCGGTCCTTTTGGACATCTGGAGCCCTAAAGAGGCGTCCAGCCGCACTAATGGACCGCCGGCCGTCCCCCAGAGGACACCGCCATCAGATCATATTCTCCGGCAGCTGGAGCAGTAATGGCATCGCTAATGTGAAATGCATCCTGGCCTGATTGCCGCCGCGAGCTTGTTTCTGAATGGAGTAGGCTACAGTAATTATTCGTTGCGTGTAGAATGTGCACTAGCTGAGAGATGCACACTGTGTAGTGCCCTGGAGAACAAGTGCGCGCGCGTGTAATGGATCCGCTCGCGGTAACCCTTTGAGCTCTGGACTGGAGTAAAATCTCAGAAAACCAGCTCAGAGCTAGACAGGGATTCTGGCATTGTGTTTATGTATAGCCTATATAGTCATTTGTCAAGAATGGGTCATTGTTGAACAGTTTTAGGACAACCTTGATGAAAGGTTTCTATGTACGTGCATGTGTAGGCTATACGTGTGTGTGTGTAAAATTATTTAAATATAATTAATACATTATTATTCATATCACATAATAAATTGCAAAAATATCTGCAGGTAAACTGATTCAAACATGAATTTTGGGAGCAGAAAATTATAAAAATTGTCAAAAAGCTTTAAATTACATGATTTAATTACATTTTAAAACATATTCACATTAAAAAGCATGTGAATATAAGTTGATAAGCCTATGAAAATATGTTAATAAGTGTGTAATATACTGTACAATTGAAGTCTAATTATTAATTATAT